GAAGCTCGCGGCCGCGTAAAGGATTTACTACGAATAGGCAACGGAAAGAGGAATAGAGTTTGAAGCGGTAAAGTTAGAATTCATCTATTTTACGCGGATACGCTAACTAAGGTAGGAGACGGTAGACCTAGGAGGCTACTAATTAATACCTACGGAATTAGTAAGGTTCCTAGGCGTATAGTTCGACTGTAAACTTACCTACAAAGTACACTTCTAAGTAGTAAAGAAGAAAATATTAATATAAATATTCGCCCTAATATAGATTATAGCGAAAATGTAGGGATGTAATTTCGTACACGTACGAAAAGTCTATACTAAAATAATCCGAATAGCGGTAGCCTATAGTATATTAGCCTACTATATTCCAACGGAATTAATAGAAAAATTATATAAATTAATATACAATTTGGCCGCAATTTAGAATAATTGTTTATCGGTAGTGTCCAATATATATAAAATAGTATTAACCTTTAACTTTAAAATAGAAACCTTTTACCCCCCCTTCGACTTTTATTTTAATAAGAGAGTTTAGGTATTCAAAGAACGTTTAACGCGCTCCCTAGTAGCGGCCTTTATACGAAGTATATTAGTATAGGTAGTAGTTAAAATCCGGAATTAAAGAGTATAATAATTATTATACTTAATATTAATTAATAGTAAAATAAAGGCCGAATAGGTTATATAATAGGCCTTAATTGAAAATATACCGGTATTATAAGGGGAGGTAAGAGAATTTATACTGGGGGAGAGGGAGAAATAATTAGAAGAGGTAATAAGAAGAGAATAAGTAGTAAAATAATATATAAAAATTATTAAAATAATAAGGAAGAGGAAGTACTTAAGTACTATGGAAGTACGTATATAATTTAATAGAATTATACTATAGTATTATATATAATTTAGTATAAATAAAAACCCTATATTATATTATTTATTAAAGGTTATAAGCTTCCTATTAATATAAGTAAGAATTAGAAAAATAGGCCTACGAGTATTTCTTTTTAAGAGAAAAATTCTAGAAGTAATAATATTATACTATCGGTATAGTATAGGGAAGGAAACGTTCGAATATTTTATACTAAAGTGTTAGGAGACAGAGTAAATTTAATTATAGGGTGAGAACGCTTCTATATAGCTAATTAATAAAAAAGAATTTTATAACGAGTTTGAAACGAATATTAAACGGATTCTATAATGGGCCCTACGGTTAGGTAGGCTATAAAAGTACGAATTAGCAATTAGAATTAAAAGAGTAAGGGAAATAGAAGAAGCGTTGGAAGGTATGGACTAGAGTAGTTTGATTGTGTGTGTGAGAGACCTAGCCGAATTAGGAGCTACTTAATTGGAACGGAAAATAGAAGGAGGGCGGTAATTAGTCGGGGTAGGGTCGGCTACGTATATAATAAAAGTTTATAGCTTCGGTTATAATAGTAAGGTTATATTGAGAGGAAGGAAAATAGGACGGTACGGAGCCGATACGGCGCTGTAGCGATAGCGAAGCGGAGGGTTTTCATCTGGCTATTATAGTACGGTTTTTCCTACTGACTACGAGCGAAGCAGCACCGTATGCCTATAGGGCGAACTATGTAAATAATTAGCGTGTATAAGACTAATAATAATATTTAAATAAAACACCGGAGTAAAGTATAGTTATTCGGCCTAGTAGTTAATAAATCCAGGCCCGAAGTTAATATATTAAATACCTTTTACACTCTAATAACCTTAAGAATATTAATTATTTTAAATAGTTTATCCAATTTAATAATTATTAGCGTTTAGAAAATCGGGCTAAAAAGAGGGTATTTAACTATTACTTAATTTATAAATTTAATAACGATACCTAGTATAAAAATTGGTATAGAGTTAAATTTATATTGTATTATCTCTATTATAGTTATTTAAAGTTATTTAGTATATAAGAGCCAAATGGAGTACGTTAAGAATTAAAAATATATTTTAATACTTATTTAACCTATATCAAAATCTATATAGGTAATTATAACTACCCTTATAATTATTATAGCGATATGCCTAATAAAGAACCCAATAATGAATTTAAACTTTCTACTGAAGAAGAGAGACAATAAGAACCGTAGTAAGTATTGGCTAGAGAACTTCCCGCTTATTAACGAATTGAAGATAATAGGGACTTTAGGATGTTTGGATTCCGTAATTAAGATGTTGTATATAATTGGTATAATTATTTAAATTATCAAAATCTATTCCTACTAACTTAGGATTATTAACGTAATATAAAAGTCGATAATACTTATTTAATAGTAAATATGCCTATTATTATTATTTCGGCTATTAATAATTTTAATTTAATTTAAAAAGTTGTTTTTAATAAGTTTATTGCTTATTACTAGTCTATTCTAAATTGTAATAATAATATTGAACGCTATTGTTGTATCCTACCTCTACTTTTATAAATTAATAACCGTAGAAGTATTAGTAAATTATATTTTATTAAACTTCTGTCTTTCAAATTAGAGTAAATGGTTGTAGGTCGAGGGAAGAATAATCCTATTATCTGTAGTGCTCCTACTAGGGTAGTAGTTAATAATATCGATGGGTAGACTTTATACTCTTTATTTAAATTTCTTATTATATTTAAGAATATTAATCTTAATAATTTTGAAGTGGCTATTGTAATTTTGGAAAGTGTTAATTTTATTTAATTTTAGATTAAACTATAATTATACTAATATTTTATTATTAATGAGAAATTTATAGTTAGGTTTCGAACTATTGATTTTATTAATTAAAGGTTTTAATAAGTTTTCCCGAATGTGAGAATATATTTTTTGGTAATAGAAGCGTCCTATTACTTAGTAATTTCTACTAATTAGCGTTAGTAGTATAGAAATCCCTTTTTTATAATTAGGTAATTTTGTTAGTAATTAAAGCCGGTGGTTGTAATTATTACTATGCTTTTAATAAAACTATTGAATTATAGTAGATTGTGCGATAATAGGGTAATAATCAAGCCCTATTTAGGGATATATTCGAAGGATTGCGTAATAATTAACTTACTTATTAATATTAGGAACTTTTATATATTCGTATATAGGCGCGATTATTTTAAGAGAAGGCTGTTCAATTCTAATATGCTCTTCGAATTTACTCAAAACGTAGTAATATAACTATATATAATATTAAGTATATAGAAACCTTATATCAATTATACTTTATATTTCCTACTAACTACGAAGGAATTAGTATTAAAGATATAGACCTTCTTGAAATTAATAATCTATAGTTCAATTTCCCTTTGATAATAGGAAGTCGGGTAATATTTATTAAAAATCTCTAGACTAAGGTTAGCTTGGTTAATAGTATATTAGGTATTGTCTTCGATATTGTTTGGGATGGTACTTTTCCTAACTAAAATATACCTAATAAATAGTATCCTTATGGAAATCCCTTTATTATACTGGTTAAATTTGATCGGTATACCGGTCCTTAGTACTTTCTTAACTAAGAAGATCAAGAAAGATTCTATAATATAGTCCCTATTTTCCGGATTATACGAGATTTTATTTCCTATAGGAATGCCTGATATAAGAGGATATAATTCCCTTTAATAATAGTATATACTATTATAGTATATAAATTATAGGGCTTTATATTTGATATAGCTATACTAGATATTTCCAAGAAGGACTTTTAAACTGGGCTTATATATATAGCTTGCTCTTGGGTTAAGATTTTATAAGGCTTTATATTTAATAAGCCTTTTAATTTGAGCGCTCTAAAAATATTTTTAAATTGTACTTTTATTATATGGACTGCTAATAAAATAAGAAGATTACTAGAAAAATTCCCAGTCCTAATTTAAATACTAAGACCTGGGGCCCCCGGTATTACTACTTCCGGTGTGCCAGCTTTAAATATATATATAATTGTAATAAGAATTAATATTTTTAACCGTACTTTCTATTGATAGCGTTTGTAATTGCTCCTTCTATTTTATTTTATATTTAATATTTCTTTCTCTTTTTCTCCCTCTCCCTCTCCCTCTCCCTCTTTCTCTTTTTTTATATTTAATTTTTTATTATTTTTATTAATTACTAACTACTAACCCTTAGTACTACTATATTAATTATTTTCGAAGATAATAATTTCGAGTTTGAGGAGCGCTTTAATAATATATTAAAAGAAGAAGAAGAGTATTGTAATTTATTTACTATTAAGTGCTAACGTACTATTATTAGAGGTTAGGTTAGTATTAAAATAGTATTACTAATTAAAGATGACTTTTTGTATAAGAAGAAGAAGATTATAGTTACCCCTAGCCTTTATCTTTCTATTTATTTAAAATAGTACGTTATTCTTATTATTAATTATAATTTAGATTATTCTAATTTAGAATTTAAGTAGCTAATTCTTAATACTAATTAAAAAAAAAAAAAAGAAAGGAGTTCAGTTCGACTTATTCCGCGTACCCTAATCGAATACCTTATAGTATACCCTTTTTTAGAGCAACCATCAATAGTATTAAGAGATAGTACATCTTATAGCAGTTTTATATCTCCTATTCCCTAGATTGGCTATATACGTAATTAATATTAAAAACCTATAACGGATAAAATTAGAAAATGAGAAGGATTTGAGAGAGGTTAGTAATATAATAATTGAGCGTTTAAAGAAGAAATAAGGTATAAGTAGAGAATTGAATATACGAATTCTCTAAATTTATATTAATAGTAATTGTAGGCGTCCCTTTAATTGTTATATTACGAGTATCCCTATAGTACTTCCGGTAGGGTTAGTAATAGTAGGGTAATTGGAAGTAGATTATATAAATTAATTAGAACATTTTGAAGGTATTTATTATATTTGCAGTTGAGTTTATAGTTAAAATAATAGAAATCTTTTTAAAAGAGTTAAATTTAGTGATGATTTGGTTGGTGTTGTGCCTTCGAATTAGGATTGGGAGCTAAGAATCTTCCTATGCTTCCCGGCTTGGTATTTCTTGGCAGGTGGATCCAAAGCACGCTTTAATATATACCGGGCATTGTTTGAGCTGAGGATCCAGCATCGTACCGGTGTCTGAGAACTATTTTATGTTGAGCCTATGGCCCGTATCTACCTACTCTCATTCACCCTCATCTAGCACCCTGATTCAATTAATTACTATTTTGACTCATCACCGACTGCCGAACTGCCTCCTCTGTGTCTCGCAATGTGTTGAACATGTAGGGCACGCCCACCCATGCTGTCTGGATCTTTACTTTCCTTAAAAGACGCTTGTTGCAGCGCCACCACCCGCTCATCACGGCGCTCTTCGCAAGTGTCAGCCACCAGTCCTGCTCCTCTTGCCTGCCGCGTCGTGTCAGGTCGTCCCTGTGGAAGCTTCGCAGATGGTGGCCAAAGTGATCGTCCCGTACAAACGCCTCTTGGTGCCGCAGACATTTCATTAGTCGCACCGATACTTCTTCTTCATGTTGCCTAAAAGATGAGTTTGCCTGTGTCTCTTTAGGTCGGCGGCCCGGCTGAAGGCTCAGGATGAGAGCGTGTGTTTCTTTCTTCTCCTCGCTGGAATTGATCTATTTCAAACAGTCAGGGTCAGTTTGCGGTCACCACGTTCATGTTTGTCACGGTGGCTGCATAACGCCGGCATATCAGATCAGGGGCTAGGATGCTGCACTTGCTGACTCGACGCTTGTTCCAGCTTTGCTTGAACAGGGGCACTCTCAAGCACCACGGCAACGACGAGACAGCATCGCTGAAGGACATCGAAGCCCTTTAGGTGAAGGAGGAGCTGATGGGCAGCCTTTTGAACTATCACGCTGACGGGAGGAAAATTGACGCCGTGCTGGCTGAACATATGGCGAAGCTGCTTGGTGAGAACATCCTGCACTCCTACCCTTTCGGGAAACTCCTTTTGGCGACCTTCGGCTCGCTGAATTGCCTCGTGGACTGCACGATTCTGAAGTGATGACTGAAGGCATGAACGTCTCATCCCGATACTCATTGTCCAAAGCAAACTGGGCAGCCAGTGTAGCATGGTTTGCCACACGAATATGTCGGAGATCGTCATGTTGAATACTTGCAGCGGGCTGGGTGGTGAGATACTGTCCGATGAGTATGTAGCAGTTGAGTCACTGCTGTCGGATCTTCTCATGCTGATTGAGATGAAATTCTATTAATCCAAACCTCCAGACCCTTTGGGGCGCGGAGTATATCGAAGATCAGCGTAGTCCATGTCCGCAAATCCCTTGTGGAATAATTCCAACCGTGCTGTGCGCGGTACAAGTGAATACTCGGTTGCGGTCAGGCTTCTGTTTTTAGGTAAGCTGATACACGGTGATGCTGATATTTCTTGATAGATTTGAGTGAAGAGATGAGCGAAGCTAGTCTCTATCACTTAACCTCCGTCGACAACGCTTCAGCGGACCCGCCCCACAAATATGTGGGTCTCCCCTCCTCGAACTTTTGTGAGAGGAGGTCTGTTACGGTTTTGCGTAAAAACGCCGTCGGCTGCAGAAATTCCTATATAAATGTAACGGGTCTGTTAGAGTATTGCACAGCGAGCAGTCGTATAAGGTTGAAATGCTATATTTGACAAAGAGAGCAAGGGAAGACTACACTAGAAGGGTGCAATCGAAAGAAGGTTTTATAGCCGGGCGCACGGGCTAGGCAAATATATAGATCCGACCAATCAGGAGGCTCGCATTCTTATTAATACAACCAATCCGCCTTAGTAGACTTAGTAAAGCCGAATCTTTAATCCTAAACGCTAGCCCTATAATATTACCCCCCTACTCCCCCTTAAAAAACACACTCTACTATACCAAAAAGCACTCTACTAAATACACAAAAAAATAACTAAAATCCTCTATAACCGCTCCCTACTAAATGCCCAACTAAATAGGTACGAAATATTAATAATACTAAAAAAAAAATCTCCCTATTCAAACCCCCGAACAAACGCTATACAACTCCTACCCTTTACCCAAATTAATAATAATATATTTACCGCCATCCTTATAAAACTATACTCCGGCTAGGGTACTAAAACTAAATTAAAGAATATATTTAAACTATATTTATCTAAGGACTTCTTTTACCAGCTAAATCTATAGCGGAGGTAATTAGAATTACGGCCGTTACTATTAGGCGGCCAAGAGGCGACTATTGAAGAAGGGATTCTACAAGCCTATAGCGCCGAGGCCCTACTTCGCTTTACAAAGCTTCTACCCAACAGGGTTATAGCGACCGGTACCCTCCTCTTCCTAATAAAGCGTTGAACTAATAATAATAGGGTATATTACGAGCTAGGTACACGAGAGGGATAATCCAGCGCCGTATTAGGATTGTACGTTAGTACTAAATTCTATAATATTTAATTATAAGGAAATAGAATTTGTATTAATATAAAAGGGGTATAAAGGAGCGTAATTTATTATAATTAGTAGTTATTAATATATTTTTAAATTAATTCCTAACTTACTATCCCTTATATATAGCTACAACTATAATCACCTTAATTTATATTTCCCCTACATTCTTAATAAATTAATAATTCTTCCTCTAGGAATTAAATTAATACCGTTAAAATACATATATATAGTAGCCGGTCTATTTCTTATACCGTTAAAGCTACCCCTCGTCCTTCGTATATTATAACCCCCTTAGTTATTACCGCCGAAACCGTATTACCTTCTCCGCCTTTATTACAACTACGCTAATTTATTATAAAGTCCGTTAAAGTAGATAATAATAACGATTACCCCTCTACACTACCCTAAGCTTCCTATACGTACCCTTATTTAATTAAAGTTAACGAATTTATATATAAATAATAATTCTTCAAATTCCGGTTTACTACTATTAAACTCCTCCTAAACTACCTCCCCTTATATATATTCTAATAGGAGTAATTTGCCTTTATAGGCTTTATTAAATAAAATTCAATTAGGAATTATCTTCCTATTTCTATTAAGTTCCGTTATTAAAACTACCTCTTTTATAATTAAACCTATATTTTTACTATACTTCCCCGTATTACCCTTTCTTCTACGGCCGTTACTATAATTACCCTTTTACTATTAGTAGCCTTACCGGATAATATTAAATACCGCCCTAAATATAATATTACTAAATTTATAAACGAGAATTTCTTATAGTTTTAGAATTATTTCTATAATATTAATACGTATTTTTAGAAGTACCTCCGTACTTCCCTTTCATTTATTATTAATTATATTAAAGGTAATTCTAAGAATATTCAAATTAAATATGTATTAATCCTCTATAGTAAACCCGGGTATAATATTATTCGTAATATATTTATATAGAACGATCTCCGTGTTTTTTTAAAAACCGAATATAATAGTAATATTTAAACTATTGAAAGTCCGCCTTTAATAAATTCGAATATATATACTAGGGTATTTCCAAAATTATTTATAATTTTTATAATCGCTACTATACTAAGGAATTCAATTTATCCTATAATTAGCCGGAATATACTCGGGTTATTACGTAGGCTAATCAGCTACGTCCCTTTTTCTAATAAAGCGTTCTTTCGATAATCAATATTAATACTATAAACGAAGTAATAATATATACAGAACGGCTAGAGGGCTTAAAAAATATCAAGCCGTCCGTTTTACATTATTTAAATTAAACGTTCTTAAAGTATATTTAATTATTTTTTTCGTTTTAACCCCCTCCTACTTCCTCGTTAAATATTCCTTCTTATTTATCCTATAATACTAATCCTTCTAATTTACTTTATTACCCCCTCCTAATTTTTTAAATAAATCCCAATTTTATTTATTCCCTCTATTAATAGAAAAGTTATACGTATAATTATTATACTTAACCGAAACCGCTGAATATTTACTACAAATATAATATAACAGGCTATCTTATAGTAATATACCCGAACCGAACTTATTTTAATTATAATATGGTCGGTTACTAAGTATAGAATTACCCTCTCCCTATAAACACTTTCTTATATAGTACGAATATTACATTAATTATAGTTAAATTAGTTGTTATACTTATTTAGAATAATATAAGTAGATTGTAATTATATTTAAAAATAAAATTTTTAATAAAGATTTATAGAAATTAGTAGAGTATATAAGGGTTAATAAATTCGAGCGTAGAATTAAATTTAATTAGTAAACATTTACTTCCGTCGAATATAAAAATCAATTTTATACCCTATCATTTTATTAATTTCTTTCTTTAACCTATTCTAATATATAATTTAATTACTTATTTTATTAAAATATATAACTCTTATAACATTTAGTGAATAAAGTAAATTATATTCATTATTATTAAATTCCTCATTATAAAAATTATTTTTAATTACCTTTAATTTCGTAAATAGAACCCTAATATTAATTAGCAATAGCGGTTATTTCGGTTCCGTATTAAAACTAGCGATTTCGAATTAAATATAACGCCGGCGAAGGAAGTATACAATATTATAACTATTTTAATAGAGCTACAGTAGGACTTTATTTTACTTTTAAACCTTTAGAAAATAACGAGGATAGAAGAGGGGTTCCGCCTTCCCGCGTATATAAATATTCTATTCAAAATTCCCCTTTCTTTAGTAATAGAATTCGTAACCTTACCTATTATATTAAAATTAACTAAAATTCCCCTAACCTCTACCCCCCTAGCGAAAGTCTTCCAAATAGCCTTCGATAGTATTTACTTTACTTTAATAACCCTTGCGGAATTAATATTATTATAATCCTTAGAATTATTAAAGGAATTAGGGAATAAAATTATTATTCCTAAATTAATGATTCTATTAGAATATAAAGAGTTCCAATCGGTATTCGAAACTTCGATTATACCCTTACTTTAATATAATTGGTTAAAATATTATATCAATCTAATTAAAAGGGAATTAGTACTTTAGGAACCGATTTATACATTAAATATTAAAGAACTAGAAGTATTATACAAATAATTAATGAAAGTATTTTAGAAGTGGTAAATTCGCCTTTTAATTAATTTAGCGGATACTCTAATTATTTTTATTCTAAAAAAAGTAGGAAATTAAGGCTTTATATTAATTTTAGGGCGTTAAATAAAGTAATAAAGAAGAATCGCATAGTATTACTTCTTATTTAGAAGATTTTAGATCGGTTATTATTAATCAAAGTCTTTATAAAATTAAATTCAAAGGACATATATTATAAGATTCGGATTCGGGAAGGAAACGAAGACAAAATAGTATTTTATACGAGGTACAGGTACTACGAATTCTTAATTATATTAATAAGGTTAATAAATATACTAATAATATCTTAAATATATATTAATAATATATTAATAGGGCTAATAAATATAATAGATATTACTTATTTCAATAATATCCTAATTTATAGTAGAAATAAGGAAAACTATATTAATTACATTAAGGAAATCCTATAACGTTTACAAAATTAAGACCTTTATATAAATTTAAGTAAATACGAGTTTTATATAAAAAAAGGTATTATTCTTAAGATATATTATTTCTCTAAAAGGCATTTCAATAAACCCGGAGAGGGTTATAATAATTACGGATTAGAAAATCCTAACGAACGTCTATAATATTTAAATCTTTTTAAAGTTTATTAGGTTCTATTAGCGTTTTGTAATATTATATTCGAAAGTAACTACACCCCTAACCAAACTATTAAGATAAGATAAATAGAGATTATTCGAATTTATAATAGATGTGAAGGTACGTAACGGGCGAGGCAGGGCTGCAGCGTTGTTGACGTTTAATATAGAATTTACAATTAAAGAGTAAAATAAAAGGTAAGAGTTGTGCGGGTTGCTGGGCTGGAAGATATGCTTCCAGATTCCAAACGCCCGGACTACTCCTTATTTAATTTATAACTAATTAAATCGCTCGCATCCGAGCGACCGTACAATGTAGCTGTGCGACCGGGTAGTAGGCATAGGTTAGTAGGACTGGGCTATGATATTACCCCCCCTTTTTCGAGGATTCTACCTTTAGAATCGAAAAAAAATTTCTAACCCGAATATAGTTCGAACCCGTAGTCTCCGGTCGCGATCGCTTCCCAGGCAGAGGAGGGGTACCCTCGGGGTAGCCTATAGTATAGTTTAGGGGCCCTTACTCTTACTATTACGCTATTAGACTAATTCTACAAATTGTTGTTGTATATTTTCTAATTATAATTACCTATCAATCTACCCTTTTTTATCCTCTTATTTACGCAAGCGATTTATTGGGCTTACTATATATATTATATAATATTATATATATATAACGGATTTACGGGTCTATCTTATACCTTACGAGTATAAGCAACTATATATAAGTAATATATAAT